TCTCATTGATTAAACGGAGAATCTTCAACCCGGCGATATCCGCTGCATCCAGCAGACATCTGCGCTGCGCATCGGTGTACCAGGCTGGGCAAGCGATCACCATCTCATTTACAGCCAACTTGAGCTCCGCGCTCGCAGTCTGCTTGGCGCGAGTGAGGAACATGGCTGCCAGTTGCGCTGCAGTAAAATCCGTATCTTTACCCTGGTACTTGACACGTGCTCCCAATTGGCCATCCTTCTCGATCAAAGGTACTGAAAGGTAATCTTTCTCCATTTGAACGTCAGGGTCGTTGAGGGAACGCCCTGCAAGCCGTGTGAGAGATCCGACCGTGTTCTTGAGATTGGAGATCTCGAGAGATTTGGCGGTCTCTCCGAGGTATCTGCATTTTGGCCCGAAACCAACGAGTGAGGGTGTAGCACGGTTGGAGACCTCGTTCGCTATGACATCGACGCCCTTGTTGCGTGCAACTGCGATCACAGCATTTTGGGTGCCGAAGTCGAGCCCGACGACCGACATTGTGAAGGATTCGGTTCCCTGATGATGTGATTCGATTCTGCAATGATAGAGGGATTGATGCGCTCGGTCGGGTGGTGGAGTGGAAAGGTAAGATGTGTAAGGTAGCTACAGAGTGCAAGTAGGCGGTGTTTGCAGTGTAGTCGCTAAATTTTGACGAACACGCCAGAATTCACTAGAAGCTTTGCCCGACAATGCGACGTGCCTGCGCACGGATCATATGCACATGACTCGCGTCAATAATGTAACCAGAACCTCTAGTCGACACATCGTTGAAAACATTCCCTCGAGAATAATCCTCCAAGGACCAGCCGGCGTCGCGCTCTCCGCAGCTTGGTTCTCTGGCTTGTGCTCGCATTGACGAGGCTGCGGCAGTGATCAGGACAGCACAGCTCTCACTGAGAGCGAAACGAGCAGATGTCATTGCAGTCACAATGCTACTGTCATTCCGCTCCTGACTGCGCACTACGTCTAGTGGCATCAGTGAGAAGCTAGATCTCCGTATACAGCGGTTGCTTAGACGGTACAGAGGCTACCAGGCTGACGGTCTGCTGAACACTGTTGCCTCTCATGGAAGATAATAACGCCCACTGCACTCTCCTACGGTGGATCGCGATACTGACCGAGTCTCCACGAGCTCATTCGCATCGGTGCCGTCGCATTCTGTACAGGATCACAGGATGGTTCATTCCCCGTCTTTGCGGCGTCTGTTGTGGTGCATCTCTCCTGGCCAGGCTAGCAGACCAACGCAGCCGTACGCTTTACAGCCTAATACACAACCAAGTCCACCGGCGAAAACGGCGCCAAACATGTGGTAGTAGATACAATGAGGAGTGTTGATGATGTCGAAAAAGCTTATTGTATCACACCTTTAGTACATGTATGACTTGATTCCTGCTTACTGCACTTTATCTTGCTGCGACCCATAGGGCCAAGTTGGCACCTGGGCCATCCGAATTTCCTGCGCCGAAGAGCAGGTCATAGCACCGTCCAATCAGCGAACCCCATCCCGTCGCCACCTACTACCGATCCTTGTCCTCCAACACAAAGCTCGCTGCCGTCCATCCAAAGTTCCAGAACAGCCTGTACGCGACTTTGCGAACCTCCTGATGCTCGTAGTAAGACTTCGGGTGTGGTCTATGGAGCGAGATCATCGACTTGCCGTATTCGAAGCTCCAAGCAGACCCACGTTGCGGCTTGACCCTGCAACCAGCCTTGCGCATCGTCTTCACTAACAGAGACCACTCCAAGGACTTCTTACCCTGGTAATTGACCGTGCGGAAGATACCCTGGAGTACTGTGAAGCTGGCTTTGTTGATTGGTATGCGGTCAGGATAGTGCGGCTTAGTTGTAGGCTTCTTCTGAGGCAGTTTTGGCGGCGGCACATTCGACTTGTTGCCGACGGATGGCTGGGACTTGAGCTGCGCCGCAGAGTTCGTTATCTTCCGAGATGTAGAAGATGCTTGGTCAAGAAGAGTGTCGTTAACGCGCGGGACCGAAACAATGTCAGACGCCTCTGGAGTCGGGTACGAGATGGCATAGCACTGCGCGCGTTGACGTTCGACAACCGCGACATGCGATGGTTGAGTGTCTTAATCATTGTTCAGCTTCACAATGAGTTGTTTCTGTGTCAGGATCGTCGATGCTCTGTCAAGATCGTTTCTCACTTCGTCCCATAGCTCGCGAAGATTTTGACGTATCGGCACGGTCTTTTCGTAACATGCCATGTCCTTGGGTCCAGAAGGCCACACGACGCGGCCAAGATTTTCGAGCTGCAAGCCGACACGCTTTGTCGACTCGTCCGAGGCAAGCCGAGCAGGCACTGAGACTTTCATGTCTCGATGGAACGGGAAGCTGACCGTGTCGGTGCCGGACTTTGGGGCTATGGGTTGACCGATCTGGCAATACCGCACTGAAGTAGCGAGCTGGTCCGTAACCGCAAGGTCAGCCAACAAGCAACAAAGCCTCCCATCGATGTCGGCATTGTGATCCCTCGACGTCATCACAGTCTCAAATCGCCGGAACGCTCGCTCGATAACATTGCAGTCTTGAGTGGCTTCATGCTTAGCGAGCGCATCGATGAACGTGGCTTGCCAGTCCACTGCAGAGCGCTCCTTTGTCTTCGGATCATCGTACTTAGACTTGAGTAATACTGGACCTTGCGACTCGATAGAGTACGAGAAGTACTCGTGGAACGCTCGTGTAAAGGGTAGCTGCTGAGTGACACGTGTCCGCTGCATCGAAAGACAAAGTTCGGCCACTTGCAAGAGATAAGTGATTGCCCAATGGACGTGAGCTGACACACCCTGGCCGGGCTCTATGCAGAGTCCGCTCTTCCCAACCACCCGCAAGACCTGGGAGGTCTCGAGTTGCAAGCGACGCCAGATGAGCAGGTTCTCGGACCAGTCACTGAGGAACATACGAGCGATGATAATTGATTGCTGTCCGACCGGCACTTGACCCTCGTCGATCGCGGCGTCGGCCTTGAGACGGCTGACGTAGTGTTGCATGTAGGAAGGGTCGGTTTGCATCATCTTGATCTCGTCCAGCAGACCCTGGACTTGGCCATCGATCGTGGCAGCAAACTCGGCGAGGTCGAGAACCGGCGGCGAGGAAGTGCATTGCTCAAAGTATGAGCCTGATGGGGTGACAACGTCGTGGTCCCGAAACCCATTTGCAGCTAGCGCGGTCCACTCCTTACAGTCGGAAGGTTTCGCATTTGCCACAATGGCTTTGCACGCGAAGCGTAAGGTCTGCATGATCTTATACTGGTTGTGTGCGGTGGAAAGTCCATATCTATAAGCAGCGATCGTCCAGGTACCAGCGAGATTGGCGTCGTCTTCAGCCTTCTGACAGTAATGTGGTCCACACAGATGGAGATAGAGGTCACTCCACAGCAGAGGCGGTGGATCTAGGTGGTCGTCGTCGTCGTCAATCTGTTGCCGACAATCGAACGCTGCCTGTGCGTGGTCAGTAATGTGAGCACGCAGGCGTCGAGGACATCGAACTTACCCATCTGGACGGCGGATTATTTGCCCTGACATCGAGCAAGCGAAGGAAGGTGCTGGCATCCCGGTATAGTGCTTCGTCATGAAGCCAGTCGGGCCCATTGTGAGTGGTCTTGTTCAGGTGCGCCAATTGCTGATCTACGATGGGCGATGTCACGCGCGCTTGTGATGTCGCAACGCGCGCCCAAGCCGTGCACAAAACGTCGCGCCGCTTCTCTACTGGCCATTCCATCCATCGAGCCGCCATGGTATCGCCGAAGACATGGATGTTCTCGAGTATGGTCTGCCGTGGCGTTTCGATAGCTTGCAGCACTTGTTGGATGCTTTGCAGTGCGTGATCTGGTCGGACCTCAACCAGATGCCGCTGAATAGGAGGTCGAGTTGATTCTAGTATAGATAGCGAGTGGTACAACGAGAGGACATGAACGTGGGACGCGCTGTCTGGACGTCGGTCGTCTTCCGCTGGCCGCAGACCGGCCATGACGATATGACCGTGACTCTGGAGCTGCAACAAAGGTGCTGTGCAAACAGTTGCGATGTCTTGCCGTCGAACTTGATGAAAGAGTGGCTAAACACGAGAAAGAACTTACAATAGAGACAAGGCAGCCACTTCATGGCGGGTAAGTGGGAACTAGCCTGGCCAAGTCTAGCGCAGCGGGAAGTCCCCTTTCCTGAAGTGAAGTTCAGACAATGTTCAGACAATGTTCAGTCACGTGTCTTTGACGATTGCTCTGAACGTTGTTCGGGCACAGGATGTTCTTTCTTTGGAATCGAGATCTCGTGGAGCCTGTAGCTTTCTGGCGTGGCTCGAAAGGATGTCGATAGCCACGCAGCTCGAGCTTGACCGTGTGCAAGTCTGGTACATTGCACCGGTGGCAGGCGTAAGGTACTCGCACTTCAAATGCTCACGTCGTGCTGAAACGCCGCTGCTGTCCCCTGTAGCGCAAGGAGACAGAAATTGTGCTGCTGCTATTGCGGCGGATCGAAGACCGCTAAGTTCCAGCATATTGCCGCATCGCGTAGCGTGTCGATGTGGTCTGGCCCGTCTGGAGTTTTCTATTGCTGAGTCCAGCGATCCGCACAATACAACAAGCCTTATATCTGGTCCAGGTGATCAGCTATTTCACGCAGTAGATACAAGAGCAGGCCGAGTATAGGATTTACTCTGCACATGGCACAAAGAACAAGATGATTCTTTGTCAATGCCGGCTGTGACTCAAGGATGTATCAGCCCAGATGCTGTGACTTGGTCAACACTGATAGGCTTAGCATAGCGAATCCTGAGCACGTTCACCGAGATGAGACGATGCCGTGATTAATTGTCTAATATATGGGAAACGAGGAGAAAGGTGACCAGGATGAAGTCAGGAAAGAGATGATGAGGCTTTTCACGTGCTGCGGCTCCCCGGCGTCCCATGATCCTTGATGTTTTGAACTGTTGATGCTCTTGTGATGGGCTTCGAGGATTGCTACCATTCGGACCTGTGGCACAACGGTAGCGCGTCTGCTTACAATGCGGGTTTCCAGAAGATTACCCGTTCAAGTCGGGTCGGGTCTTCTATGTCTTTTGACGTTGAAGAGTCGTTGCTATTCTCGAGCAGCTATTTTGCGCAAGCAAGGAGCCAGCGGATTGCGTGAAGGTGTAGAACCGTGCCGGCGGTATCACTGCCAATGCGGTGAGCCGGGTGCAACGCTTCATTCTGTGCATTTCGCGTGGGAGAGATGCATCGTTGCCTTTGAAGTGTGCGCAGAGGAAGTGAAGAGGGAGGTGAAGTGTGAAAAGGAACGAGGCTCTGCCACAACAGCGGCAATCTCCCCGACTTCCCCGCGACTCCACAAATGCATGGCAGATCGTGGCGCAGATCTCACATCGTCCCGGCAGCGAGCCGACAACTTCGTCGCCAATGTCATGTCGGTCTTTCCAACGCGACATTGCTGGCAGGTTAGGGCCGCTGGGCTTTCGTTATAGTCTTCCAACAGGATACTAGGATCGCTCCCGCTGTGCGCCACTCGCACGCTTATTGGACGTGCCACTACACGGGAGGACTGAGGCATCACTCGAGCCAGGCACTTCCACTTCGGCACGAGACTTCCAAGGCAGTCCACCAGGCTTCGGCCTGCCCCAGGCCACGATGCCCGAGATGGCTCAACGCGCCTCCTCCTCGGCCACAGCCTCCCCAGAGACCGACGAAAGGGACCCACACATCCCTTCCTCGATACCCCCATGGGTCCACATCTCCTCCTCCGACTCAACACCCTTCCTCCCCCAGCCCTCTCGGCCAAACACACGCCACTACAAGCCTCCACCCTCCCACTATAAACCCGGCCGAAAATGGGACGGCTACCGCACAGCCGAGCCGGCACTGCTCAGCGCACCCATAGCAGAGCACCAAGTGCGCTGGGCGGGGTTCATGGACAGTGGGCCGAATCCTGGGGTGCGAGAGGAGGAGGGGAGATCGATGGGCGCGCAGTGGATGGCGGATAATGTTCCCATCACTACGCGGGCGTGGGAGGCAGAGGACGAGGCGAGAGCGGATATGCCGGAGACGTTGACGGGGTGGTGGCTGTTTAGTCCGGAGAGGCAGGAACGGACTGTGCGGTTGTTCTGGGTGTGTCGTGTCCCTGATCGCAAGTTCCACGTCACGTTGACTAACATGGGGTCCAGAGATTACTCCTGAAGAACCCCTTCATCCCCCTCCTTTTCCGCCTAACCTGCCTCGCCTTCGCAGGCGCCTCCCTAGGTCTCGCAGGCACGATCTATCGAGCCGTATACAACGTCAACCACGATGCGATAGCCGACAATCAGTGCGCCACCCGAGCCTCAACCTACATGGCACTCATAGTAGGCGCCGTCGCCGTGCCCTACATTGGCTACGTGACGTGGGACGAGTATATGTCAAAGCCGTGCATTCCCCTACTCTCTACCCTGAGCCGTTCCGATACTAACGCAATGTCAGTCTCGGTCTCCGCTCCGCTGTCGCCAAAACACTGCTCCTCCTCTGCGACCTCTACTTCATCGTTTTCTCCGCTTCAAACTTATCCCTCGCTTTCGATGCGCTAGACGACCATCGATGGGCCTGCTTCGACGACGGCTACGATGCCAATGTTGCCGGTGTCGGCGCCACGTGCCCAAATAACCCGTCGATATGCTCACGACAGCGAGCCTTGAGTGGTGTATTACTGATTAGTCTGGTGGCGTGGTTAGCGACATTCAGCGTGAGCGTTATGAGGGTTGTCGAGAAACTACGGTGATGATGGATACGAAGTGGGAAAATTTGTGGGATTTAGCGAAGGTGTTTACTGGCTGCATTTGATCGTATGATGAGACGATCGTGGGAAGGAACGGCCACAGCTTGGTCGATATGTACAGAGTCTATGACTGCATAGCAGCATCCCAGCAATACCCTCACTTCCACATCTCCCAACATTTCGACACCACCTGATCGAGATTCTCATCCTCAAGGCCAAGCAACTTCATAGCAAAGTCCTGCTTCTTCGTCCAGTCACTCTCAAGCGCCCCTAGCATGAACACCAAATTCTCAATCGCCTCCTTGTCGCCCTCATCTCGCTTCCTCACCCACGTCTTCTCATACTCTGTCGGATCGAAAGTTTCCACGTCCCACTGCTTGCCGCTGGCCTTCTCGAATGACTTCAGGATCTCACTCTGCGTCACATTGAAGCTCTGCACATACACCACACGGTTCTTCGTCTCATCTAGCGTCCCCAGTACCTTCACCGTGGCTTCGCCCACGCGGGACAGCGTAGAGTAAGAACTCCTCACATCTCCCTTTCCCAACACCTCCGCCTTGCAGTCTTTCGGGTATAGATGTAGGAACTCGGCCCGCCAGTCGAAAAAGTGACCGCCTACTACCGCCGTCCAACTAAAGCTTTCGTGCTTCTCCGCTAGCTCTGTTAGGTAGCTACGGAGTTGAGTCTTGGCGCCGAAGAGAGGGACGAGTTCCTGTGCGTGTGCAGATGCTGAGTCACAGCTCCCGAAATCCGCTGGGATGAGTCTCTGCACGCCGGCTGCAATAGCTGCATCAGCGAGGCGTCTCTGTAGATCGACTTGCGTTCCTTTTATCGTTATGACGAGAGCGTCTTGCCCGCGCAGTAGAGGCGTGAGATCGGACACGGTGAATGCTTCGTCCACTTTCGCCACCTTCACGTTCGAGGGGTAATTGTCTGGTGACGAGGAGTTGGCTCTCTTCAGCACTGTGATTTCGAAATTGGCATGCAGGAGTGCCGTTAAGATAGCAGGACCTAGCTCGCCATCCGCGCCGAGAAGCGTGACTCTCTTGATGGCCATTCTGACGGACAAGGCTGACCGAGCCGTGTTATGAGAGCGCAATAATGTCCCAGAGATGGTAGGAGAGACACTCCAGAGATTGCTCTGAGCCTGGTAGACGCGGCGAAGCACTACCCAGATCAGCGAGTAGATTTCGAGAAGATCGGAAGAGAGCGGCCAATTGAGCTCCAAGGTGACTGCAGAATGATACGGATTTGTAGTCGAGGAATCACGGTCTGCAGCCTGACAAGTTAGCGTCGTTGATGTTTGTCGGTTTGAGTTGTGTCTACAAGACTCGCGGGCACTCGGTCGGGCGAAGAGGATGACTAGATGTCAAGTCGCGACTATCATTCCGGGCTTGTCACTATGCTGCCAAACAAATGAGGTGAATTATGATTCGTCTAACGTCTAGCGAACCCACAAATGCGGTAGCACGGCAAGGGTACCACGTGGGCTACGCATGCCTTGCAGCAGAAAGCAGGGATCGTTCCTTAGCGCTATGCAGTGAGAGACCAGTCAAAGACGACTGTAGAGCGAGGCTGGCGTCGGGTATAAGCACATGCAGAGCTGCAGTAGCTTTAGGTAGGTTGTCACACAACATGGCAGGTCTCCCATTATCGGCATGGTGTGGGAGGCCAATCAACGAAGACACTGTTCCGTAACGTCATTTCCACAAGTACGTGGACGAGGAAAGACGAATCGTTCTTACAATTATCCCTATCTGTCGATTCAGTACCATCATGCCGTTACCATCCGCCCAATGATTCTCCCGTCACAAACTGAATACAGACATCGTGCAACCTCGCTACCGGCAGGATCCCTTGATCCTCACATGAAGCACGGCGTCAGTGACTCCAGCTAGACCTTTTTTTCAAGGGCTGCATCTCATACTCGGCGACCTGATTTTCGTAATTAGGCAGCAGGGATCTCAATCTGCTCCAATAATTCATGTTGTCAGCCGACAAGCGTGGCGATTGGGTGCCACCAGGGGTCTCCGCACTATGGTCATCGACCGATGTTTGTCGTGTACTTGCGTTCGCTGTATAGCCACTGAGCGAGGTGGTCCTTCGACGAAGTGGACTCGCTAAGGACGCTGGGCTGGCTGTGCCGGGCTGCGATTGCGATGCATTGTCTGGACCAGGGACAACCGGCGCTGGATCCTTGATCAGTACAGGTGCAAATGTGGCCATGGTGCCGCTTGACAACTCGGCAGGGTCAGACTTGTTGACTATGTCTCCGATCTCGGAGTGCTGGCGGTTGTCATCGAGCGTTGGAGCGATGGCTTGTTCCGTCCTGACTGATAGCTCGGCATGCTTGGGTGGACATCTCAACGGACCTTTGCCTTTGTTCTGAGATATGCCATCCGCAGTATACTGTGAGGCAGAACTCGAGCTCTCAGCTTCTCGCTGGGTCTCCTCAATGGGATTGAAACTTGGTGTCGCCGTCTGCGTACTAGCATCTTTATACTCTCCTTTGGCTTGCCGCCGCAGCTGGTCTAGCTCGAATGGATGCTTCGCAGCTTTGCGGTCCTCTTCCGCCCTCCGATGGGCAACGTCAAGTATGTGAATCTCTTCCTTCCTCGCGTCCTCCTTCTGCGCCAAGGCGAGGCTCTGCTGCGCAATCAGAAGAGAGTCGTGAGCAGTCACGGCGTTGGCTTCAGCGACTAGGGTAGCCTGCATAGCAGCCGCAGCGCTCTGCTCAGCAGCTGCGGCCAAGCGCTCGGCAGTGACAGCATTTCTTGTGTTCGCAAGTGCACTCACTCTGGCAGCCTCCGCCGCTATGCGAGCGTATTTCATTGTGGCCAAGCCAAAAAGCACGCTGGCAGCCACAGTGCTAGACTGCAACGCTATCTGTGCGCCAGGAGGGATGGTTGAGGCTGCGGCCTGAGCTGCAGGTAAGGCGGCTAGCATCTGCCCGTACCAGCCGTCGAAAGTCGCTGACTCTGGCAATGGTCCCACGTCTTGTGCAAAGTTGGAATCGACTCGCTCGCTGCCACCGTGAGCTCTTGGCACGTCCAATGTAGGCGCAGTCGCCACTACCGGACGAGCTGGCGTGCTCGACAGAGCTTCGATGTGGCTGGTTCCGGTCAGTGCTGAGGCGGCGTCTACATCTTCCACCTGACGATATGGCGGCGGGGCCATGTCTGCAGCAGAAGGTGCTCCAGATTGCTGAACAGCGCTTGCCTGTCTTTCAGTACTGGCGTGGTCCTGCTCTGTGACCAATGACAGCGTATTGGTGGGGGCGGACATCGCTAGACGTGAGCTTGTGACTGT